AACTGCTAACACGAGGTTGTCGTCGAAATAAAAAAAACAAAAGGAAAATAGAACTCGCTGATCACGTATTTATCTGTGTAAACAGCTGATAAAGACAGATTCTGTATTCAAGCTGCATACTTAATGTTGTGTTTTGCTGTTTTGAAGAGTTGAAACACAAACTAAATAGAAAACAATAAGCGTAATGTACGTATACTAATTTATTACGTAAAATAAATATAACGTTTTATAACCAAACGAATTGAAACGAATTGAACGAACAAAAAAGCATGTCACAGTAAAAGTCACACTGTACATTAATTATCGCCCAAAAACAAATAGAATAAATAGTGATAATCCCTGCACATAACACAATAAATATTATTTAGCGTAATGCATATGCATCTGTGAGCTTGCTTAGCTTTAAACATAGTAATAATAATCTAAATTTTTCAATTGCGTTGCTGTTCAAGCTATGAAGTTTCTCATTAATTTTCAACATTTTTGGAACTTCGCCATCAAAGTCAAGTAAACTGCGGTTTTCCCTCTAAAATTTTTCCCGTCCCGCGGTACTTCCCGCACAAAAAATATCCGCCCCGCGGTTTTCCCTCCTTTTCATTCCCGCCCCGCGAGTTTCCCTCCAACTTCTGTTCCCAAACCGCAGTTTTCCTGCAAGTATTTGCGGGAAAATTTGCGGGAAATTTTCCATGTAGACCTCTACTCCATACAACCAAATCCAGTTTTAAAATAATTTATCTACAATTGTTTCCGTTAGAGTATTTTTGATGGGGATTGCTACTGGCCATCTGGTGAAACGATAGGCACACGTTAAAATGTGTGTGTCCATCTGATGAAGACATTGGTCCGACTAAATCGATGTGTACATGCTGAAACCTGCTGCTTGGTGGAGGGAATTTTGCTGGACGTGAAGCTGTATGTCGATGTACTTTGCTGCGTTGACATTGCAGACACTCTCTGCACCAGTTACGGATGTCTTTATCAATGTGGGGCCAAACATACCTGGCTCTAATTAATTTCGATGTTGCTTTCGCTCCTGGATGTGACAGGGAATGGAAATTCAGAAAAACTGATTTCCGCATGCTTGTTGGAACTAGAGGACGAGGGGTGCCTAACGAGGTGTCGACGACGATATTGTTTCTTGAGTTGTTGACTGGAATTATGCTGATTTTTAGAGAGTCTATGTTGTCAAGGAGTGTTGCATCATCCTCCTGTTCTTTCGACATCTCCTCAAGTTTAATTGCTTTTGGCGTTATCGTGGCTACCTCTGTACGTGATAGCGCATCAGCCACAATGTTGTTTTCTCCTTTCACGTGTCGAATGTCTGTTGTAAACTGTGAGATGTAATCCAGGTGTCTGATCTCTCTTGGTGTTAAACGATTTGAATCTGAATGTAAGGCAAACGTCAATGGTTTATGGTCAGTGAATATTGTGAACTCTCGACCTTTGAGGAAATGTTGAAAATGGCGGACAGCTGAATACACTGCCAGCAGTTCTCGACCAAATAAGCTGTAGCGGGTCTGTGCTAGATTAAATTTTTGCGAAAAAAAGGCTATGGGCCTTGCAATCCCTTGATTTTTCTGTTTTAGTACTGCTCCCGCAGCAACGTCTGAAGCGTCGGTGAAAAGTAAAAAGGTGCCTTTCTCTTGAACGTACCATAACTTGGTTGCCGCTTGTAAAGCCTGTTTGGCCTCTCTAAAACTTTGTTGCTGCACTTCGTTAAATTTTATAGTTTTTGATTTGCCAGTTAAAATGTCAGTGAGAGGTGACAATATCGTTAAGCATTTAGTAATGAATCGTCGGTAAAAATTGATCATTCCGATGAATCGGCGTAGTTGCTTGTCAGTCGTTGGTTCAGCAAAATTGATGATTGCCTGTACTTTGTTGTTGAGGGATCTAATGCCTTCGCTGTCGAGTTGATGCCCCAGAAATGTTGTGGATGATTTCGCCCATTCACATTTGGATGGGCTGATAGTTAGTCCGTTGTCTTGCAGTCGTTGAAGGACTTGTTCTACATGGCTTCTGTGTTCTTCAAGGGTTTTGCTGGCTATTAGTATGTCGTCAATGTATGCGTGGACAAAAGGTAGCCCTCTCAAAACGCTATCGATGAACCTTTGGAAAGTCTGTGCGGCATTTCTCAGTCCAAACGGCATCTTCAAAAATTCAAACAGACCAAACGGTGTTGTCACTGCTGTTTTTTGGATATCTTCTTCTGCCACCGGTATCTGGTGGTAAGCCCGTACGAGATCTAGCCTCGTAAACCATCGCACCTGTTCCAGACTGTGAGCGATATTATGGATGTGTGGAACTGGATATCGATCAGGTGTGGTCCTGTTGTTGAGTGCGCGGTAATCTCCACAAGACCTCCAATCTCCTGATGACTTTGTAACCATATGAAGTGGTGATGCCCAAAGACTGTTTGACGGTCTTATGATTCCTTGTTGACACATGTATTCGAATTCGGCTTTGGCGACTCTCAACTTCTCTGGGTGCAATCGTCGTGGGTTAGGGTGTATGATGTTGTGTATGATGTGGTGGTCCAGAAGTCACAATGTGGTTTTGTATTTTGTTTTCATTTTTGTTGTCGTTGACAGGCATCGTTAACTTAGGAAATTTGTCAATGATTTTACCAAAGTTGTTGTCCGAAGCAATGTATGGTTTGACGCCCGAGATTATATTGGAACGTTCAACAACCCCCTGTATCTGTAACGTCGTGATGTTGTCAACAATTTTGTGTCTCCTCATGTCGACTGCAATATCGAAGTGTGACAAAAAGCCGGCACCCAATATTGCCTGTGTGACGTTTGCAATGATGAAAACCCATTTGAACTTACGTCGTAAACCGAGGTCGATGGTTACGAGCTGTTGTCCAAATGTGTCGATGGTGGTGCCATTTGCTGCTTGCAGTTTGTAGTCAGATTTGGGTCTTCGAAGGTGTTGTCGTGAAGGTATGATACTTACCTGGGCTCCTGTGTCGACCAAAAACCTTGTCTTCGAAATGTTATCGGTGACGTAAAAAAGGCGACACGGTTTGTTGAATCTTGATGTGGTGTCTTGTTGTTTTTGCGGCTGTTTGTTGTTGTTTGTCACTACTTTTGTTTGTTGATGTTTGTTGATGTTTGATGTTTGTACATGATGTAGGCGACTAAAAGTGTTGTGGCCAGAGGTTGCCGCCGCCATTAGCAACTGGTCTGGTAGTTTGACGACATGGCGACTTTTTGCTTTGTAGTTGCATGGTCTCGCACACTTTTTTGCTCTGTCCCCATACGTTTTATGGTACCAGCAAACATCTGTCTCCTCACCATCTGCTGCTCTAGATGGGAATTTTGTCTTCGTTAGTTGTTGTTGTTGATGTTTGCGCCTGAACGCAAATACCTCATCTCTCTCTTAGTCGTCGTCTCTTCGGTACCAGATTCTGTTACGGCGTTGTGTGTTATGGTGGTAGAACCATTTCGATTGGATATTTGATGCATTTGGTCAGCTATGGTCGCTAACCTTTGTAGCGTCTCGTCGGTTGAGACTGCTAGATGCATTTGTATTGCGGATGGTAGCTGGTCCAACCACAATTGTTTCAAAATGCTATCGTCTCTATTGTTTGCCTCCCACAGGCTCTGCATGTGCCTTAATAGTTGTGATGGCGTTCTGTCTTCCATGGCCACGCCTCGGAGCAACGTGCGCAAATTTTCTTCGTCTGAAACCGAATATCTCTACCTTAACACGCGCTTCAGTGAGGTGTAAGTTTGTGCCGACGCCAATTCCGTTTCCACATCTATGACGACATCCATTGGTAGGCTTTCAACCAACGTGGAGTACCATTCATCTTCTGAAAATCCTCGGCCCTTGAGCACATTTTCGAAATATGTAAACCACGCTTTGGGGTTCGCTGTGCTGAATTTGTTTAGTTGGAGTGGGGCTCTCGTCGCTGTTCTCTTTGTCGTGGTTTCGCAAGCCATCGCGTTCGGGGTCGCCAATTTGTTGGGGTTAGGGTTAGGGTTAGGACACCAAACCAGAAAAGCAGCCCGAATACCTATCAGAATGGTTATCGCAGTTTCTTATAAAGCCCGCACAAATCAACTTCTTATTTCGTGGTGTTTTATTTATTAGTCTTTTTAATCGCTAGGATTTTCAATCCGACAATCTCCGAAATCCGAAATTTCATCAATATACTCCAACTATACAATATCAGTTTCAATTAACGGACAACTCACACCGTTGTTACAGGTAAGAAAAGGGGTGCTTCAAAGTGACCCATGTTCTCCACTATTGTTTAATCTATGTTTCAACTCTCTAATGAAGATCTTAGAAAGTGAGGAATTTAAACAATGCGGCTACTTTTGGGGCTCAACCTCTGATGTGAAGGCAAGACCTTGGCACACAGTTCGGATGGTGCACAAAAGTTAATTGATCTGAATCTAGCCTGGTGTAAATGGTCTGGTATGCAAATAAGTATTGATAAGTGTTGTGTGTTTGGAATGAAAAAAAAGGATGGCTCATACGATCAATTTTTGCCCAGGTTGACAATAGATGACATGCCTATTCCAACAGTAGAAATTGGTTGCGGATTCAAATACCTGGGAAAAATTTATGATTCAGAATTGAAAGACACAAAAGCAAAAGATGAGGTTATTTCCAAATTAACGCGTCTGTTGAAAGTTACGACCAAACTCGATGTTTCTTCTCAAATGAAACCACAAATATTAAGAAGATTCATTCCATCACAATTGAAGTTCGAACTACGAAGTTATAGTTTTTCACTGACGTGGATTGCCAACAATTTGGACAATCTAGTTGTTG